CAAATATTAATAGTAGCAATATTCTTAATAGTCAAAGAACAGAAATATCTTCCAGCTGATAAATGGATAAACAAAATGTGATCTACCCATACAATGAATTATTATTTGGCAATCAAAAGGAATGTAAGTACCGATTCATGCTACAGCATGATGAACCTTAAAATTGTTATGTTAAGTGAAAGAAATTAGTCACAGGGACCAGCAGTTGGCATAAAAGTTATGCTGCTGGACTCCCACATAGTTGACTGTGGTTCAAGTCCTGAACCCGGCATCTTAAAACTCATGCCAGGCATGTGTACATGTGTAACCAAAACCCTGATGGGAGAATGAAGAAGGAGGGATTATGGCATGGCCATCCCTTATCAGGGTGTTTTCTTTCTTTCTGTCAATCTTTCTCTGGCAAAAATATCTCTCTCTAAAAAAAAAAAAGGCTCTCTGGCAAAAATATCTCTCTAAAAAAAAAAAAAAAGGAAGAAGTCACAAAAGACCATATATTGTCTGATTTATTTATATGAATTGTCCAGAATAGGCAAATTCGGAGACAGAAAGACTAGTAAAAGTCTAAATTTGGGTGAGCTGGTAACAAAGTGGGAGTTGGGTATGGAGTGAGACAGGAGGAATGTTAATGAGGTTCCTTTATTGGAGTGGAAGAGGGAAACCAAAAGTTTTTAAAATTAGGTGTGTTAATAGTCGTACAACTCTGAATATACTAAAAAAACTACATTGAACTGTGTACTTTAAATGGGTAAATTGTGTAATACATCTCAATTATATCTCAATAAAGTTGTGAAAAATAAAAATAAAATGCTTGTCCAGAATGTTTTAAAAAATAAAGATGTGTATCTAGTTGTATTAATTATGCCAAGGCACTGCTTTCTAGTGCTGGCAATTCAGAGCCTATATGAACTGAAACTTTCCATTAACAACCTGCACATGCCAGTTTTAATGGGTGTTCTAGCCCTCAATCACTCTGAAAAGTTACTTTACAGTATTGAAGATGGGTAGCATTGGGGAATTATTTAGTACCTACTCTAATTCTTGTTGGAATTGGGTGCAAAACATGTTTTCATAGTTTATTTACTATTACAATTGCCAGTTGTTGCACATGGAAGTAAGCCCATGGAATGGACATGGTTTCTTGGCAATAGCCTCTGACACCGTGGCTGGAATGAGTCCAGTTCTCAGGTAAATACTTTCCCCACACGCCATGTGAAGGCATTTTTTTAATTTCCCCAAAACCTATACAGGACACACTGACATCTTTTTTGTATTCACTTGGCCCAAATGTGATTGCAAGTGCATATTTCAGGCCTGAGTTGAGAAGCAAAATAAAAAGGCTACATAGCCAGGCGTTTGGAAAGAAAAATGAAAATAAGCCACACTGCACAGGAGAAAATGGGTACTTGCGCTTGCAGTGGAATGGGTCTGGAGTTGGGACAGGGCCCTGACAATGAAATAAGCATTTGAATCATGATGCTGAGGGTGAGGTGCGGAAGGTGGAAAAGGGCCAGGCTTTGAAGGCCAGAAGTATTTGAAGAGGAGAGTTTAAATGTTAAATGTCACCAATCTCTTCTGCTCCCATTAACTCTCCTTTAATAGACCCTGGAGGCAGCTTCTGGCCTTTTCATTCTTCTGAACAGGGATTTCCAAGTCATTTTCAGGGAAAAAAGAAGAAAATCACAGACCTAAGGGCTTTGGAAGGGGCAGCCTGCTGCCCAGCAACTGAATTATTCCAAAGAGCAGCCAGAGGGGTTGGCCTGCAGCCAAGGCTAGACCTGCTGCTTTCCACACTTTCTTTTGTTCCTGAGGGTAGAAAAGGAGACTAGATTAAACATAGACTCAATTAACTGAGCCCTGGGCCACTAACGCACATCCTGGTTAAATAAAAACAGAGAGATCAATCGCTCTCCTAATCAACCTAGATGAGGGAGTAGTGCGCGCTCTTACACTTTGTGTGATCGTGTTCACCCCATGTACCCCTGTGCCCTGGGCCTTCCAGTGCAAATACAAATCCTCTCTACTAAGTGCAAATCCTCCTTAACCAGGACCTAGGGCATCAAAATTCTCTTGTATTGGGGGACCAGCAGTTAGCATAATGGCTATGTCACCGGACTACCATGTAGTCGACCGCGGTTTGCGTCCCAGACCCGGTGGCTTAAAACTCACGACAGGCGCATGTGCATGCGTACTCAAGATCCCAAGAGGAGAATGGAGGAGAAGGGATTGCGGTGTGGCTATCCTCCACCCCCCACAGCCGCCCCGAGGGGTGATTTCTCACTTTCTGTCTCTCTATCTCTCGCTCTCTGTCTGGCGAGCGCACGCACTCTATAGCAAAAAGCTTTTCCAAAAAAAAAAGAATTCTCTTGTATTCAGCACTCATTAGGGTGTTCATTTTGCTTCTAAAAGAGGGTGATAACTGCAGATATGGAGGTACAGGAAGCCGGGATTTGGTGAGTAGAGGGCAGAAAACAGTGGGCCAGTCTTCTTTGGCCTACCTCCTGGCTGAGGACCAGCCTCACAGTGGGTGGCAGTACCAGTGGGCTGGCATGCTAAGTGATGAAGAGACCCCTTTTGCAGAATACCCACTTGCAGAGGCCTCTGGCATGGTTAACTGCTCAGGATCCTGCAACTAGGCTTTTCTGTCTGTCAACCTGCAAACAGAGTACCTGGCATGGGATAGAGAGGAGAATTTCCACACACAATGAATCTAGGGTCACACACTGCCACTTCCAGCTGTATGGCTTCACTTTTCATCCATAAAATACACAATAATAATGATTACTAATACGATTGTGACAATAAATAATGAGAAGCTGAGTGACAATAATTGGCCATGTCCCTCCCTTTTCTCACTTCCCCTTCCTCCTCCATATTTGTACCTTCTTCACCTTGTTCTCCTCAAGTTAAAGATATTTTTCTACCTTACGACAACATACTAAAATTCCTTGACCTGTGCATTTGCATACATATTACCTCATTGGGTCCTCCCCCAAATTAAGGGGAGGTTAAAATTAGATGTGTTAATAGTCATACAACTGTGGTATGTTAATAATCGTAATAGTCATAATGAAACTGGGACGCAGGGAGATTAGGGCATTTGATGAAGATGGCAGGCCTGGGTTGTTGTTTTTCTTTTTCTTTCTTCTACTTCCTTTCTTTCTTTTCTGTTATAGAGTGTGTGAGTTTGCCAGAGACAAAGAGACAGAGAAGAGGGAAGTGAGAAATCACCCCACAGGGAAGATGGACATGCTGCAATCCCTTTTCTTCCATTCTTCTCTTGGGATTTGGGGTGTGCATGCACTCATACTGGGCTTAATTTTCAAGCCACCAGGTCCAGGACTCAAACTAGACCTGAGTCTTAGAGTACAAGTTCACAGATTCCAGGCCATATGTTTGTGTTCCCTGCTGCCCCCTGGTGGAAGTAGAACGGGGGAGCCTCAGTCATGCACTGCTCCCCACTCTTCCGTTAGTCCTGCTGCCCTTACCTCTAGTTGGTGAACCAGCTCCTGAATTTTCTCCTCACAGCCTCATGGATTAAATGTCTTTAAGTATCTTATGGAGTGTCTGTAAGAGGTAACATTGATGTATCTTGTTGTAAAAGAAGCAAAGAATATATTGGACATGTTGGGAATGTAAAGTCTCTCTCAGCTCCGACCCATCTGTCCTCCCTCCTTGACTGTCTCTGTGAAGGTTTTGAAACCTTTCTAGCCTTTTGCTAAGCATTTACATACATAGTTACATACATACATATTATAATATGAATGTTGCCATACTATATATTATTTTGAAAATCAACTCTAATAATATGTCTTGAGGTGCTTTTTAACTAACTCACTTTTTAAGGCCTTCACAGTGATCTATTGTGTGATTGATCTCTATTTTACCAGACATTTAAGTTTTTTCTATTTCTTTAAAAATTTTGAATAATATCACAATGATTGTTGCTATACATTGATCTTTGTGCATATGTGTAAAGATTTTTGTATCACACCCATTTTACAGATGAAGAAAACAAGGCAAGATAAGAAGAAAAGATTTGCTAAAGGTCGCCTACTGACTTACCTGGGACCATAAAATGGGCATCTAGAATCCTCCATCAGTATTCTGTTCTTCAGAGCACAAAGAAGGAAATTCTAGTATTTCCATGGCGGGAGCAACTCTCATCACCACATGGAATCTTGAGCACATGCCCTTCCTCTCAAGTCATCCCACACTTGCAGCCAAAGTAAGCTGCTGAGATACAGCTCTGTTTATACCCTGCTTAAAACTGCTTCTCATTCAAGCAAGAGTCCACACCTCTTGCTTACCCTCCTGGGTGCTTCTCCAGCTCCTCATTCACTTGGAAGTAGCCATGCTGCACTCTTCAACTTCCTTAATTCTCTTCCCATGCCCTTTCTCAGCCATTGTCCTTGAACTTCCTTTTCTATACCACTATTCACCTGACCAACTCCTATCTAGCTCTCAGGTCCCCACTGACCTGGCCATCCACTCGGGAAACCCTCTGGTGTTCAGAAACCTCTCCACAGACTTCACCATCCTAGACTATGATTCTCTCCTACTTGCCGACATCATGCTCCATAACAGGAAGACTCTATCTGCCAAGGTCGCTGGTACAGCCCATGCATGGTATCAGTCTGATAATAAGCTGTGGACCATGGTCTTGACAAATACATGAATATAGGCCAGAGACATTCAGTCAGGGCTCCTGAGACCGAGGGTATTTATCAGCCACTAGAGAACACTGATACTTAGATGCAAGATCAACACCAGCATCCCAAGATAGTCATGCATGTATAGAATTAGGACTCTTCAGTTGATGTCATTTCTGCTGTTGACATAGTCACAAGGTGAGAGTTTTCTACATGGAAAAAGAATAGAGAAAAGAAGAAGGGCAGGAAGGAAGCACAGAGACCCTCCCAGAAGGGTAATAGTTGATGATGTCATCACTGGTTATGATTGTTACATACTTCTTGGTGAACAGTTTGTGTTTGGAGGTCCTGGAACATGGAACATTTACCATGAGTGAAGTGGTGGTGGTGCCTGACTGCCCTCTCTCCATATCCTCAGTACTAGAAGGACAAGCTCTCTGAAGCATATTCACCTGAAAAGACATGGCTGAGCTTACCTTCTGATGTTACCAGCTCATCACCCTGATGCTGGGTAGGCCTACAAGCCACACAGATAAAAACTGTTAGAGGACCTATACACAGGGGTGCTTGATGTTTCAACATCCTCTGCATATGTGTTTATTTATTATTCTTGCAGTAATGTATTCCTGTGACGTAGTAATTACCATTCCCATTGTACAATTAAGCAATGAAAGTTAGACCCCAGTTTCCAGGCATTGCTGCTGATTCTTCAGGGTACTCAAAGGGCGTATGTAGCCAGAGTCACACTAAAACCTGTTTTTCTTTCTCTTTTCTTATGTGACTTTGCCTCTCCTTTTCTGCCATATCCTATGCCAAACCCCTTCTGCAGGATAGACTCTGTGAATAACTGTTCTGGCAACACATGGTTCCCAGGAAGTGACCTCTACTGGCCTTGTAGAAGGATCGGTGCAGCTAAAGCAGATTGAATGCTTGGGGACTGGGATATTTTTTATTCCAAGGCAGGTGGCTGAGGCAAAGTATTCCCTAAAATTAGAGAGATGTATAAAATATATGCTTCAGATTTTCTTTGGAAGAAGACTGTTGCCAGAGACTAGCACACCTTTCAGGTCTCAGCTTTCAGCCTGAGCTCAGCACCTTACTAGGGAATTTGCAGCAAGTTTCAAGCAACAAGTCCCTGTGTTTGTGGGTGGTTCAAATGTTAGAGTAAAACAAAGGGTTCTCTACATTCCAAAAGGGACTTAATGGCAGCATCTAACCCATACAGAACAAACCAGAAGACAGAGAGGCTGTCACCCCTTATAAGGAGCAGGCTCTCAATCCTGAAAGTGAGCGATGTAAGCAGTGCAAGTGTGTCTGTCATGAGAACAATGTTTGTTTTCAGAAAGTCTAGGAGAGAGGGGAATAAAGTAATGACATCATGAGGAGGCAGCTGGACATATCCAGGTGGTGGGTTTGTCAACAGAGACTGGTCTCTGCAAGTCTGTGACACCTAATTGAGACCTTGCTGAGAGAAAGGACACCCTTTAATACAACAGTATGGTATGAGTGGGCCCATATCAAATGCTGCTTTGGACAAACCAGACCTAAAGGGTGTTGCTGGGTCGATCAGGGAAATTAGAATATGTCTGGATATGAGACAGCATAAAAATGTTACAAATCAACAGCAAAGTAGAGATTGTTTACTGAAAAAAAATCAGATTATAAAACATTATGCACCAGGATGATCTCATTTGGATGAAGTTAAAAAGGAATGCTATGTACTAGGTGTTAAAAGTAGAAATCTCTGGGGTGATAAGAATATGATAATGTTCCCTTTTATTTTTGTTTGACTGTGTTTTCCACTTTCCATAGTGCACACACAGAGCTTCTAGAACAATGAAAGATTATTCAGAATTTCAAAATCAAAATTTGGACAACACTTATAAGTAAGCATGGAAAAAAAGGGGGGGGGGTACTAACCCAAGGAAAGGATTTTTTATAGACTGATAAGGAAGCACCAAGACAGGAATGGAGACACGGGCACAGGAGGTAACAGGAAATCTACAAACAAGGAAATATAAATGGCTAATATATTTGAAAATATTTGGCTTCACTAGTTGTTGAGGAAATGCAAAGAACCAAGTTCCTACTCATTTAACTAACAAGCATTGGAAAGGTAAAAACGAGTCTGTGTTGAGGAGTGCGTGAAGAAGCTTCAGTGAACACGCTCACTGGTACTACCACTTTGGCAAGTAATTTGGCAATTCACACCTGCATGCTTCCTGGTCCATACTTAGTAATGCCACTTCTGGGATTCTGTCTTTGGAAAAAAAGAAATCATAACAAAAAAATGTGATGCTCATTTCACTATCATTTATAATTATGAAACATTAGAAATTCTCCAACCATCCAGCATTTTCAGATTATAAAACATTATGCACAGGATGATCTCATTTGGATGAAGTTAAAAAGGAATGCTATGTACTAGGTGTTAAAAGTAGAAATCTCTGGGGTGATAAGAATATGATAATGTTCCCTTTTATTTTTGTTTGACTGTGTTTTCCACTTTCCATAGTGCACACACAGAGCTTCTAGAACAATGAAAGATTATTCAGAATTTCAAAATCAAAATTTGGACAACACTTATAAGTAAGCATGGAAAAAAAGGGGGGGGGGTACTAACCCAAGGAAAGGATTTTTTATAGACTGATAAGGAAGCACCAAGACAGGAATGGAGACACGGGCACAGGAGGTAACAGGAAATCTACAAACAAGGAAATATAAATGGCTAATATATTTGAAAATATTTGGCTTCACTAGTTGTTGAGGAAATGCAAAGAACCAAGTTCCTACTCATTTAACTAACAAGCATTGGAAAGGTAAAAACGAGTCTGTGTTGAGGAGTGCGTGAAGAAGCTTCAGTGAACACGCTCACTGGTACTACCACTTTGGCAAGTAATTTGGCAATTCACACCTGCATGCTTCCTGGTCCATACTTAGTAATGCCACTTCTGGGATTCTGTCTTTGGAAAAAAAGAAATCATAACAAAAAAATGTGATGCTCATTTCACTATCATTTATAATTATGAAACATTAGAAATTCTCCAACCATCCAGCATTTGGAAGATGGTCATGTAAACAGTACTAGAGCCACTGAATGTAATGCTAGGCAGTGATTAACGTGGTGTCCCAGGAAGGTCAGATGCATGGGAACTAGCATTGCTATAATGTTAATTAAATAGGCAAGTAACAATGTGATCCCAACAGAGAAAATCAAATATGGAAAAGAAGTACAAAAATAAGGCAATAAAGAAACACACAGAAATGTTAACGTAATGTGTTGAGGAAGTGAGACCATTGTGGTCTTGGCCCCTTATTCTTCTGTACTTCCAAGTCTTGATGGATACCTATTATTTCATGATAAAGAACTAGAAAAAAATTAGAAGGCTGATCATGAAGACTTTTAGCACAGGAAAGTTGTAAACTCTGTAAGTGAGTAGAAATATGACCCAGCCAGGGGTATCATTTTTTTTTTTCCTTAGAAGTTTATTTCTTCCATCAGAGAGAAGGAGCAAGAAGGAGAGAGACCCTTCTGAAAGTGTCTCAATACCATGATTCACCCCCAGCTTTCAGCCAGCCCTGTTTCCTGGGTTAGCGTGTGCCTACTATACTCAGGTAGGTTTTCAGATTTGAACTGGGAACCTTCCCATGTGGGATTGCCTTGCAGAGCATCGTGTTTAACGACTGCTCCACTATTTGGCCCCAAAAGGACATCATTTCTTATGTTTGGGAGCCTGGCAGGAGTCCCCATTTCCAGGAAAGGGCACATGAACAACAAAGGGAAAGGAGACCAGGCCAAAGGAAAGACCCAGGCTAGAAGGTGGTACTCCTGCAGAGATGTGGAGTGTAGCCTCAGGGAGGTGAAAGTAATATCCAACTGTCTGCTGTAGTCAGCTCTGTCTTAGAAGCAAAGCATCCCTGTTCAGAGGAGTGCCCAGGACACTTTGCAGTATGTGTGACATTCCAGAGTAGCAACCAGGGCAGCCACTGTCTGACTGTGTAGCTTTGGGCAAGAGTTTTAACTTCTCTATGCCATTTACTCCTTGTAAGACAGTATATTCATTTCCCATGTAATAGTACCATAAATTAAACTGCTTAAAACATCAGAAATTTATTCTCTCACTGTTCTGGAGGCTAGAAATTCTAAGTCAAGGTGTTGGGAGGGCTATGCGCACTCTGAAAAGTCTAAGAGGGAATCATTGTTTGCTGCTTCCTAGCTTCTGGTCTTGCTGGCAAAGCTGGAGGCAACATTGCTCCAGTTTCTGCCTCTGTTTTGACATGGCCATCTTCCCTCTGTGTATCTCTGTGTCCAAATTTCTCTTTCTTCATAAGGATCCCAGGCATTGGATTTGGGGTCCACCCCAACCCATTGTGATCTATTTAGTTAATTTAATCTGTGAAGACCCTATCTCCAAGGAAAGTCACATTCTGGGGGTCCAGATAGATAAGAATTTTGAAGAGATACTATCCAACAAAAAACAGGTGGAGACAACAATCACAGCTACCTAATATCACTGTTAGAGTTTGAAATAGGTTAGGATGGATAAAGCACTTGGAACATAAATGATAACTTTTTCTTCAGCTACGGTCTGAAGCTGCCTCTGGGACTTTTCTGCCTCATAGTTGGATATTCAGAGATGCAGCCCAAATAGTCTAGTCATAAACATTCCCCAAATTTTACTGCTTTTAGTGTTCTCTGAGGGCTGCCATAGTTGTTGTTTCTTTTTGGGTCGCTTCTGGCAATCTGCAATTGCACCATAAGCCTCCTATCAGCAGGGAGTGACTGGCTTAGAGGCAGAGAGTTGATGATGGGCAGAGAGTTGACGATGGGCAGTGATGGCTTCTAGAAAGTCCTCAGTCCTCAGGCTTGCATTTGACCACTCTCTTTGCTTCTTTTTTTTTTTTGGAGAGTTTTTTGCTGTAGGGCTCATGTGCTCGCCAGACAGACAGAGAGAGACAGAGAGACAGAAAGCGAGATGGCCACGCCGCAATCCCTTCTCCTCCGTTCTCCGCTCGGGATCTTGGGCATGCACACACACGCGCCCGGCGTGAGTTTTAAGCCACCAGGTCCGGGACGCAAACCGTGGTCGACTATGTGGGAGTCCAGCGACATAGCCATTACACTAACTGCTGGTCCCTCTCTTTGCTTCTTAAAATGCTGTGGCTTCATGCCATTACCCACCCCTTGCTAGCACAGGTGTTTCGAGTCCATGAAGAGCTCAACTGCACCTAGTTCCCACAAAAAGACAAAGATCAAGAAGTCACAGCACCCCAGAAAGGTAAACAGGTTGGTCCTCTTTACCTTGGCCATTGCCAGGCCCTGGGGCTATAGATGATCTGGTTAAAAAGTCACTTTTGATCTAAGTGCTTTGAACTAAATTTGGAACCAGTATACATTACATTTTGGAATTTCCTCCATCCATTTTTTTAATGAGAGAGAGAGAGACCAAGAGAACACAGGAGGGAGAGAAAGAGGTTTTTGACAGGGTCTCACCACATCATGATTCTCCTGCCTCAGTCTTTCAGTTAGCTAGACCACAGGCATTCACCACCACATTCAGCCTTTTTGGGGTCTGGGAACAAAACCTAGGCCTCCTATGTGACCTTAGCCAACACTCAGCAGTGCTTTTCTTCTTGTGCCACTGAAGTTGGATCTCCTCTTAGTCTCTTAAAGTAGGTCCACATTTATTAGTTTATCCATCTTCCATGTATGAAGAAAAAAGCCAATGACAAACTGGGACAGATTTTTGGCTTACAACTAATATTTCTTTCTCTATCCTTTATTTTGAATAAAAGTGGCATTGCCCAGTGATTCAGGCATGAATAGCAGACCCTAGCTATCCCAATCAGACCCATTCCCTAGGATTGCAGAACTTCAGGGTCCATTTGGAAGTAAATTGGTAATGCATGAGATTCACAAGTCTTTGTAGCCATTGCTTACAGACAATGGGACCAGCACAGAGAAGAAAGTTGATCTTTAAGAAGTGGTGAAAAGGGGACCAGCAGATGTAATGGTTACATTGCTGGACTCTGATGTAGTCAACTATGGTTTTAATCCCTGGATCCAGTGGCTTAAAACTCATGCCGGATGTGTGTGTGTGTGTGTGTGTGTGTGTGTGTGCGTGCGCTAAAGATCCTGAGAGAAGAATGGAAGAGAAAGGATTGCGGCATGGGCTTCCCCCTGGGGGGTGATTTCTCATTTTCTGTCTCTATATCTCTCTCTGTTTCTCCGGTGAGTACACACACCCTATAGCAATCTCTCTCTCTCTCTTAAAACAAAAAGAAGTGTGTGTGGTGGGGAGGAAGAGAAGGTATAGAAGAGGGTGGCAGTTCAGTGCCTACTTGAAGATATCTGTGAGGTGTAGATGCTCCCAGTTCAAAAGTAGGTGTACACCAGTCTCCTTCCAAGAAATCTTGTTTGCCTGAACTAATTAAAACTGGGCTTCTGTTCATTACAAACACAAGTACTCCTACTAAATAAGTGACTAGAAGTCTGTGTCTTTAGGTGTAGTCTCTGTCCTTCTGGGACAGTTGTTTTGTTTGTTTGTTTGTTTGTTTTCTCTTTTTTTGGCAATGGGGAGAAAATTGAACAAGTTATTCTAACTGTGGCTTGAGCTATGGAAAACAGAGATATCAGGGATAGTGAAGTCCGATGCTATTGCCTCGGGTTTTAGTATACTCTCTTGTTCCTAGAAGGAAGAAAACAAAGGGATGTGCGGGTAGGATTAAAGACAAACACAGACAATCCAGGTGGATATTCAGAAATAGCTAAACAATCTTCAAAAACAATAATGTGTTAAGTCGTCTGGGTTTTTTTTTTTTTTTTCAGGTGTTTGTGGGTGACAGGTGTTCTCTAAATCCAGCTCTCTTGTCAACTCTTCAGGATTTTTCCAACCTTATTTCACAGGCAAAAAGGCTGGACAGAGAGAAGTGTGGGAGTCAGCTTCTCCCTAGAGAGGGGCTCGTGCCTGCAGGGTACTGCCGTGTGCCACGTCGCCCACGTGGCTGAACATTGTCTTGACAGAAGATCTCTGTCCAGCAGGAACAGAGTGTCTATTGATGCCATTTGCTTGCAGTTAGTGGTGGATATCACCTTGCCTAGGCCTTTCAAAACTTTCTCTTTGGCTGTTTCTTTCTCACATGGAATGATGACACAGCACAAAAACATTCAAAATCTGAAACACGGCTAAAACAGTAATGAGTCTGAATTTTTCCACTGGAAGCCCAGGAGTTATCCCCTAGTGTGTCAGGTGGTTCTCACTCTGCACATTTGCATAGACTATTCATCTACCAAAGATGCCCTTCTTTACAGTCTAAGTTCAGGGCATAGTTCAGACATTTCCTTTCCCTTGGTCAGTAGACACATCTTTAGCAAGTACTGTCCATTTGCCAGGAGACAAGGATCCAAGTACCTTAGTTCTGGTGCCTTCAGCAATGCCCAGAAGCTCCCTGTAGTTTGTAAAGAGAATGAATGGAGCCCTATGGGACAGTGAACATAATTGCTTTTTGAGGACTTTTCAGAATTAGCTCATGGATGCAGAACTGATATTCCAAATAGTCAATGAAATGCTAACTATGGGTGCCTCAGATAACAAGCATATGTTGATAGGCCAAGATTTTCCCAGGCCCTTTTCTGTTCTCCTGGGTTGGGCCCAATAGCTTCATACCCTGAGGAACCCTGCTCTAGTCTACACGAGCCTCCCATAGGCGCTCTAGTTCCTTTGCAAGAAAAAGTACCTTGATTTTCTCATGGATAAATATAGAGAAGCTCTTCAAAAAATTAGTCCTGCCAGAGGAGCCAGGGCCCTGGGTCTTGGCTCAGCTTAGTTGTGATGAAGTGTTAGGGTTTTGAGTCCTTTTGGGTTCCTGGAGCTGGAAGGTTTGCAGAACTCAGGACCACCAGGTTGAAGTTTGTGTGCCTTCTACCGATTCTTGTGTTGCCGAGCTGTGCCCATTGATGATGAGGAGGCAATGTCTGCACATCATCAGGCAGCTTGGAAAACTGCTTTCAAGTTCACCTGGACACCACTGAACAGAGTAACTGGAACCACCCAGGAGTGGCATGAGGAAGCAGCCAGAGTAGTGAGCCTGCAATCCTGAATTCACGTGGGAGTCATTCTCCTTCCCTTTTTCAATGGACAAAAGAGGTAGCCCAGCCCAGAGGCCACTTTGGGTGGCAAAAGATGTGTCTTAGAACTACCAGATAATGGTTCCAATGAGGCTGCATCTTCCTATTGTAGAACTCAGGTCCAAAACTCCCTCTGTAAAATTGGTGAGTAATGTGCTTGCCTCACGGGGCTGTTGTGACATGGAATGATGAGAGAGCATGAGAATACCCCATGGCATGGACTGTGGACACACAGGAGGGGCTCAGCAGGCAGGTACTCCTCAGCCCTTCCCTCTCTTCTGACTCTGTGTCACCTTTGTGTTGATGGAGAAGAAGGAAACTGAGTTTGCTCTCCTGAGAGGACCCCAGATTCCTGTACCAAGCAGGAATTGGGGGTATCTGACTCCTGGGTGTTTAGGAGGAATTGTGGGGAGAATTTCATAAGAAGTAGCAAAAGGTAAGAACCATGCAAGAAACTAGAAGTTTTTTCAGGGTGAATCTGCATGGG